ATATCTTGAGATTCAAAAATGGTTTTCATACCAGATCATGATTTTCAACCGGTGGCTATATGGCAGCTATATGATAAAGTGATCCGTTAAATAGTTAAATATTCAAATATTTTCATCACTAAAATGTAGTATTATTATTTATTATTATAATTAACATATCATATTGTGGATAATTCAATTAGTCTTAACTGTTGCTCAATCTTTACGGACATAATTGTATTTCCTAACTTATACTTTCTGAGAGCAGCACGTATAAAGTTCCCTAAATATATATTTTAAATGAGAATCATTATTTCTGGCAACAAACCCTCCTTAGAGGCTCTATAAATGCATATATATCAAATAGAAATCATAATTTTAGGCAGTCCGCTCGTAAAGTAGGCATAAAGTAGGCTTCAAATGTGCTTTTTGTTTATTTGATAGATACTCATAACTTTTTAACCTAAAATAACCCATCTCAAGTCCAGTTGAACACTCCAGCCAGCTGCGAGGCAGTGCCGAAATTACTTTTGGCTCGCAAAAATAGGTGGAACTGGCGCAGCAGGACGCAACCTGCTGCCAGATAAAATGAAATGGTGCCAGACGCTGCTGCTGCTGCTCCTGTTGTTGCCCTCCTAATACCTCAGCTCGTGTTTTTGTTTTTGTTCATTGCATTGCAGGCAGTGAACGTCAAGCGTTGTACTCCAGTGGCTGAATTTATGTTTACCGTCGCTCTAATTAAATTTAATATGCATATTGCCAAGCATTTGAAGTGGCCAGCTGTTCAGTTGTCCAGCTTGGATAAGTTGGCCGTTGGCAAAAGCGGGCTGAGCCATGCCAGTCGCTGGCCGCGGAACGGTACAGAGCAGGTGAGCTTAGAGGAGCAACGCTTTGGTGAGGCGGGGGTCAGCTTGGCTTGGTTTGGTTCGTTGCTCACAAGCAAAAGAAATGAGCTTGTGGTCGCACGTTGAGTGTGTGTGCGTGTGTGTGTGTGTAGGTAATAAATTTGATTAGTAGGATTTACGGGCATACGGCAACGTAAACGTGAAATGTTCGTGGTGCAGTAAATTTTATGCTAAACAGGGACTGGCACGAACATGGACATGGGGCAATCGAAGGGTTTGTTGGTCGGGACCCGGCGTTAGGTTTTGTGTGAGTAGCTTTTTGCCTTGACTGCCTGTCGGCGCGTCCTTTTTGCTCACTTGCTGCTGCCTGCTTTTCGTTTCGTTTTCATTTTTTGTTTGCTTTGTTTTGTTACGTTTAACGAGTTGTTACAATAAAATGTTATTGCATACTTTATGGCGCTGTGTGTGCGTGTGTGCCTGTGTGTGAGTGTGAGTGCGCGACAAGCAGAAACGGAAGTGCACAAAACAGACAACGCGGCAATGGGGAATATAAGACAGCGGCAACGGCAGCATATGCAGCGCTAAGCGCGTCTCCGGCGTCAACGTCAAAGCTGCCGCAAAACGCTTTCGCGTGCGCCATTGTAATTCTAACACACAAAATGGCGGCGGGACGCCATTTAAAAACAAGGACTAGGCGCTGGGAAGAGGGAGGTAGGGAGAGCGACTGCGACTGCTGGTAAAGTGTTTTTGTCTGGCTGCCTTTGGCAGCATTTCCGCACCCTTTGACTGCCGCTTTGGCCGCATTAAAAACATTTTCGCATAACCATAATTAGTGCACCAAAAATTGCTTACAAACTGCACGCCTGCCGCTCCACGGTGCCTTTGACGCTGGGCGTCACATAAACAATTGCAGCGCAAATTGCTTGCACCATCAAAGTCAGTTGCTGTTGCTGCTGCAGCATCAGCATCCGCATCAGCAATAGCAGCAGCAGCACATCGCTCTACCACGCTCATCATTAACATCATCATCAGGCCATAAAAATGGGCAGCAGTTGCCAGCGCGCTGTCGAGATTACGCGATAAAGCACAACGTGAAATGCAGCAAAGGAATGGACAAGCGACGTGGCTAAAATGAAATTTATGCTTTGCCTCATACTGTCTCGCTTTCCTGCTTTTTCTCTCTCTCTCTCTCTCTCTTTCAACCTATTTCCCTCTCTATTTCTGACATTTTGGCACATTTCTGGCATGGCAGCGCCTGCTGTGCCGCCGCCATTTTGTTTGCAGCCATTTTTTTTTGGGGCCACTACAAAAATGAAATGCAATCGTTGTGAAAGTCCTGAAACTCCAGCTATAGTTCCTGGCCCGTGCCTTCCCATGCCACTGCCTTGCCCTTTGCAGCCGCTCAGTTGCATTCGCACTAAAATTATGCGCATTGGGCTTCTTTTGCTATTGAAATTTTGGGATTTTCGTGTCGGCTTTTGCAATGGCTGAAAATAGATGGATGCGCTGCAGAGGGCAAAACTCACTTTTGGCAAACCCCTTTTGCGGTTCTGTTTGTGGCAAACTGAAAAGAAAATTTGGTTGTTTGTCTACCTCAATTGAAATGCATTTGATGCTCCACGCTGTGGGACATAAATCTACATTTCTGACATTGCTTCACATATGTGCAGCGCTTGAAAAAGATGCTTAAAAAAACAAAAATTTAATATCATATCAATTTGGTCACAAAATGTGCTACGCATTCGATACATTAGTATTTTCTTTAAAGCCATTCTCGTCGGTCTGTTGCCTTCTGCCACTAACAGTGTAGTCTATATATGATTGTCTTATTTGGCAGAAATAAAGCACTATACCATATAGCTTTCATTTGGAAAATTATTAAAAGCTAATTGTTTAAAGTTTAAAACATTCGATCAACTAATTAATATTCAAACAAGTGGCCCTAGTCGGTAGTTCCCCGACTAGCGGATGCCCTTTAAACTCCTCTGTCAACACCAAATGCAGCTCGCGTTATGAACTCGTTTCCTTTAGCAGTAATGCCCATGCTGATCAGGAATATATACATACATAAGAGTGCACAAGAACATTATACCCTTTTTACCTAATTTCAATGGCTGCAGGGCACAATTTTGTGCTATAAACTAAATATTATATGGACCAGTTGGCCGAGAATTGTAGTTATGATAAGCATTATAAGTATGTTAAACTTCCATTCTCGATAAAAAATTTAAATATCCTTACCAATCAATAAAATTGTCTTGACAATTAATTAATGTTTTTTTTTTCTTTTTCAGGTAATTACATATAATATTTATGCATTAAAATGGAAAAAACAATTGACAGAAAGGTCCGAACAGCCCACTGCACACATTTAAAGAAGCTCGCAAGAGTTTAAGTTTCAGACTGTCTATTCGAATTGCTAGTGATCAAGACAATCTATCTGATATATCTATCTGATATGTATGAGAGAAAAGAGTCAGGCAGATAGGAAGCAAGACTATATACACTTTATCGGATATTTTTTGAATGCGTTACACATTTGCACGTAACAAACTGGTAATACCCCCAGATAGGGTATTCAAATGAATATCAAGGCACTTGATAATATTAAATTGAATACATTTTCATTGAACACTATTGGTCTCTGGCTTATGACACCCAATGTTTTTAAGCGCAATTGTATATTTGTTGGTACCTCTTTTGATTTCGTTATTCATTTTTAATCAGAGAATGGACGCATCGTCGCCACAAAAACAAATTAAGATTTATGTGCACTTAAATAAGTTTCATTTCAGCGGGGAAATTGTCAAGCAGGGAATAATGAAATTATAATTTCATTTATATAATTAATATTATTTAAAACGGAATATTTAAAACATATCGTATTAATTGCGCACATCTCGCAGCCATTCAGTTGGGGGTGGACACTTGAAATGTATGCGACACATTTTCCGTATTTTCAGTCAGCAACCAAAAAGGCTAATAAATCAGCGCAAATAAATTATATATAAGAAGGGGATAAAACATATATATATATATTCGATAAATGACAGCGACACTTATAGAATCGGGCCCCAGGGCATGGGTAACTCTTTATTGACATTACAGTTATGTGCATAATGAGTGCACATTATGTTGTTTAATCCAGACAATAAAACACAATTACAATGCCAACTACTATGCGAAAAGCTGCAGTGGCGCCAGCGGCTGTTTGATATGAAATTATTGGCCCGGTTTATGTGAAATGCACCGACAAATCAACGCGGAAAAATTGTGGGGAAAATTATAGACCACGGGCACGACCGACCCCAGCAAATATGTTGACATTAACCGTATATCGAATATTGTCTTGTCAGTAATGCCCTGACACTGCGATGCCAATTAAACTTGTTAATAACAATTTTATGGCGAAGAGCTTAATGCATTTATAAAAAGCGAAGCTTTGCAAATTCATATGGAAATACCTTGAAATGTCAATTTGCATGTCGTATGGCAGTCGGTCATGTGTTTAATTCAATTCTTGTTGTTATTTAACATGAATATTGGGGTCAGGGCTTCTGGAAAATAAAGATTAAATTGGTAATACTCCAACAATCAGGTGTATAAATAGTTGGGGTCTTTGCGAACGAACGGATTAAAGAAAGGGCTTTTGATATTATATCAAAGAGTTGAGTATTTTTATAAATATATATAAAATTATAGAAATGTATAGAAGAAAATATCTCTGACCCCAAAAAGAGTATATATTCTAGATTAGTACGAATAGCCATGTCCATCAGTCCTTCCGTCTGTCTGTTTCTTTGCGAACTAGACTTTCAGTTTTAAAACTACTTCTTGAAACTTTGCATTGGTCTTTCCGTCTTTCTTTTGCATGCAGTGCATATGTCTGTACTGGCTGGATCGGATCACTATATTATATGGTTGCCATACGAACGGTTGAATTTCACATATTTGTAAAAGGCAAAAGTCTATAAGGGTATTATATTTTCGAATATATCCTTTCTATTTGAACATTTCAATTATTATTATTTTATTTGCATATATTTATTTTATATTTTATTTATTTTTACTTTAATTATATTAATAATTCGTCAAATTATTTTTTTTCCATTTGCATTCTTCTTATTAATTTTGTGTTACCGAACTGGTGGTGATTCAATCAGTCAATTTAATAAGTTTAAAAGAGTTCCTGAGGCGATTTAAAATCAAAGATTTAAAAATGTGGTTGATTATATTAAATTGAGTTATTTTTATTTAGGTGATTTTGCTTGTCATTGATTTTGTAGACAACAAGTATTTATGTGACTACATAGTTGGAAATAATTATATATATTGTTGATAATGAACATATTGCTGTAGTAATCCATAGAGCCAGATAGTTGAGTAATGATCAGGTCTATGTGCAATTCGATTTCATCAGATGTTTATTTGCCGCCATGAACATTGCACACTCTGCAATCGCCGTTGATAATCACGTTGCCAGGATTCAAGGGCGTGGCTGTCAAGACAAAAGAGAAAGTGTTAAATATTATGTAAGCATTATGATCTTCTTTAAGTACTTACCACTAGCCAAAGCCAGCAGACCAAGCAGAAATGCAACCGACAGGAATTTCATTTTGTTTTGTTAGTTAATTGGTAAGCTTGTAGAACTTAAGCTGAACTGATGCTGTTTGGAACAGAGCGATCTGCTTTTATACACAGATCATCAGAGCGTTTGCTATCAACATACAGTGGGAAACCGCAGCGATTATTATACGGAATTACCCCTCTGTGTATAGCCTATTGACTAGAACGAGAATTCCCCCGTACATTCGACACGTTGGGCAAAACACTCACAGCGATAAGCTCGTGTGTCTCTAATAATAACAGCGCGTAAAAAAGAAAACAACAATAAGCTAAGCTCTTAGCCGCTGTTGTTGACTTAAAACTGGCTTTTAAGTACCCAGCATATACATCGGCAATCAAGTTCGATTCGCCGGCTTTTCTTCAGAAATGAAACTTGCTTTACGATGATTGACAATTAATGACATTTTTTCAATTAAATACTCGCCGCACGTTGCTGCGTAATTGAGCTTTGCATAAGTTCTAACTAACCGTGTTTACCAATTTGCATTGCAAATTACAATGAGGAATTCAATAGATGCGTTCTTATTATTATTGATTGTAATCAATCATTGCATAGCTTTTCATTTGTCTGTCAAGAAAAAATACTATTCGAAATTATTTTATTTTAATACACAAAAAAATGAATGTTGTTCATCTTTAAAATCTAGATTAATATCGTTCTCTCTAATCAGTTATGACACGCGCTTTATTTTAGACTCTATACACAAACTAAAGAAGAGCATATTTGTTATGTGCATTGTAAGTCTGTCTATCCGTGTGAGCACAATTATTATTGGTGCTGTGGAAGCTAGAGACTTAAAATTTGCTTCGTACAAAGACCACATATAAAATCTTAAAGATCCTTCCAAAATTATTGACCACACCCAACCCTACTTGAGGTCGAAGTCGATATATTCCTAGTTTTAAAAGCAAAAAAACGTATCTGAACGTGGCAAATTGGAATAATTTATATCGATACCTCGAAAGTCGTTATTAATATCTCAATAATCGATATCGATATATAAACGATGATTAATAATAATTCGTTTGTTCTGTTATTGGACGCTGGAAGAGTATTGTGCAATCGATGCAGGCCAACTGCCCAACTTGTCCTTACTTTGAGTTCACCTCGCAGATGTAAATTTAATAATTAATACCTTTAATGCATATTTGTTAATGATATTAGCTTAACGCTGGCATACATATATACAAGCTGTTTATTGTATATTTTATTATCGATAAAGGATTTAATTTAAGCGTCCTTGCTCTAGAAATCTTTTATGATTGATTTATTTGGTTATCAGAACTTTAATTGAGGTCTCAATGAAACAATTTTTTTTTGCATGTGCTATAAAAGATGTCGATCAAATAAGGGATAAGTTTTTAACAAAATGCGAAAAATAAAATTTGATTCTAAAGCTTTTGCCAACTATCTGAAGCAACTTAATTTCGGCAAGTGCCAAATTTTTATATTGAGTTCAAGAATAAACGAATTTGGCTTATTGATTAGAATCCGGTTTCAAATAATTCTCACATCAATGCAACGAGCAATCAGTGCAATTCACTATTTAACGAAATACTAGAAATCAACATGAAAATTGAAATGGAAATGGAAGAGGTGTTGAAAAGTACAAGAAGTGAGAGCACGCAAACATAAATCAATTCATCATCAATTCGATGTGCCATTCGCTCGGATCTGTTTTCAAACGCATCGACAATTCCTTGTGCTGTTGTTTGCAAAACGAATGCCAACTGAACTTGGAGCATTTTTCAATTTTCCTGCATGTCTTTCTGTTTTTTTTTTTTTTTATTTTATTTCCATTTACTTCTTCTTATTCCTGACTATGCAGCAATAAACGTAATTCGTGAAAATCTAGTGGGAAATGTACAAAGCAAAAAAAGAAATGAAAGGAAAATAGAGTAAATGGGAATGTGGGTGCAGGTAAACAGAAAGTCTGGTAGTGCTGTTGGCCGAATGATAAATGCACAAAAATTTACCAACATCAAAATCATCAAGAGTTCCTCCGGAATGCAGTTCTTGGGGGCCTGCAACGTACACGTATTACACTGCCAGCGCGTTTTTATTTAATATTGTTTTTCTTTTTTGTATATTCTTCTTCATTCCTTCTACCTTTTGTTATTGTTTGGCGCGACAGGAGCCGTAGCAAGGACACGCATAGCTCAGCGATTTTTTATTCGCGATGCTGCTGCAATTCGCTTTACATTTTTTACCCTGCTGCGTCTTCTTTGCTGTGAGCATTCTTGGAGAGTTTTTAATTTATTTTATTTTCCGCTGTGTCTTATTTTCTCTTTTTTTGGTGAGGTTTTCCTTTTTTTCCTCCTGTTTTTTTTTTTTTAAGCGTCAATTCGTAATGCAATTTATGTGCATACAAATGAGTTATCCGCACGAAACTTTTTACTTCAAATTCATGGTGGGGCTATTCAAATATGGGCGCAATTTCTCATAGTGCATATAGAGAGTTTTTCATTAGTGCATTTGCCTCTGCGTGTACTCAACTACGGTGCACATGTACTTCAGTGGCTTGTTGCTATTTTTACATCCAATTAAGTGGGCGCGAAATCGGCATTAAATGCCTGTACCTTAAACCAAAACCTTCTTCGGTAGCTGTTGAAAACAAAACAAAAATCCATTTCAAACAATTAATGATAGCTCAGTTTAATCAAAGGAAATGCTTTTTAAAATGTTATGTAAATTGATATTATTTATTATTAAAAATTATTGCAATGTACTTTCCAATCAACATGATTCCAATCTTTAGTGACTTGTCGAAAGAAAAGTTCTCCATACCCATTTACTCCCGGTCTGGTTAGCTAAACTCATTTTGGTTGTTTGAAAATATAATTTATTTGCTCAAAGTTTCTCGGCAATAAATAATATGCAATTTTATCAAAGAGAAACATTTCTTTAATCTTGTTTTGAGCATTCTTGGTGTGGGCATTGTGAAATGCCCCAATGCATTTGATATTGTGCAGTCCATTAGCTAAAGACTATTAAATCATGAATGAAATATTTCATTTGGCAGCTTATTTTGCATGGTAAATTGTGAAACCCGAAAAATGATAAATGCTTTTATCAAACTGATAATGAAATGTATCAAATGCTGTTAGCTCTTTAATCAAATTATGCCATGGCCCTGGACCAATATCCTGGCGATGCATGCGGACAATAAAGTTAATTAATTTACTTGCCCGTAAGCTGAACATGGCCAGTGACAGGGTACTGACTGGGACGAAGGAATCGACTGGCGAATTGCATTTGGTCTACAGTAAATTAAATTCAAGAAACGTTGCAAACTCTGACAATATGCAGTTAATAACACACACACACGCGCGCACACGCACACGAACAGCCGGAGATTGTTGAAATAACTGCTCATCAATTTCTGCACAACTTGATATGCAAATCACGTATGTGAACCGTAACACAAGTCGATTATAAAATATTAATAAATTAATTTAAATTCAAATTGTTATCACAACACAGCCATGTTCATGGGATGCCACGCCCCAAGCCACACGTAAATCAAAGCCTGGCTGGGCCGTTAATGCTTTTATTTGAGGTGCTCGTAAAAGGCTTACGAACATCTATGCACCCAACCTTCCTTTGCTTGGCAAATCCATATCCAAAATGCGCTGTTGTCAATTTTCACGCCACAATTTATGTTAATTCAGTTGTAACCTTTGATACCGTAGGGAAAGGTGGTACCCGCTCTTCAACACATCAGCGATCCCAAAAGCATCCATTATAGAACACATTCAGGCATAACACACAGACACATACACACATATACATATGTACATACGAACACACACGCTTACACAATGACTGGCAACAATCCATTAGTGGGTTACTAACGGTTCTCTTGCCGGCGCCATTTTGTGTAACAACTGCAAATCAATGTCCTGACATGTGAAAAATGGCAATGGCGCTTTTGTATGCCATGTCTATTATAATATTCGTATATTATTTTATGCATGCATGGTGTGTGTGTGTGTCATACACATTTTGTGATTGTGTGTCTGCATTTTCGTAATCAACCTCATGATAAATCGCTTGCGCAAAATTTATTGAGTTTTTGCATGACATCCAATTCAAACGACAGCAGCTGCAGTAACCAATCATATTGAGAATGGGTATTACAAATTTTTGGAGCTCTACGTGCTGCAATTGAGGCGCTTTTAATATCTGCTCCTATTTACACTTACATTAAAAAAAAAACTAGTTTAATGATATACCATAATGTTAATTTAAAGTTACCAAAAAGTTGGAAATTTTGTTGTAGAAAAAAATATCGCTTAACCACTGACTATACTCAGAGTATTCCTTGAGAAATATGCTTGGTGTTTGGTATACGTGTTCATATATATATATATAGGTATCGGTTTCTTAAGCAAACTGCTAACATCGCTTAGCTCTGTTTACATGCGCTGTTAAGATCTGTTGGCATAGCAGAGCCTTAACATTTTATCGGCTGCTTTATACTCATAAATGCCAGGTGTATATGTGCATAACATATTTTAAGCAAATTTAGCTTATATATAAAATGTATCTTCAAGAATAAATCAATATATTTAATTTCAATCTTATGACTGTAATTCAAGAAACTATTCCGAACGGGCTGACACCAAAGATTAGATAGCTAAACTTAAATAGTGAAATAGCTGAGGTCTAGCCCATTCCAAGTCAGAAAAACAAACTTACAAAAGCCAACTTTTAAAAATTTGCATCTTCTAATAAATATTTAAATTGTGTGATATTGATAAATGGGTTATTTAATAAAAAGCAAATATGCTCGCAATCACAGTGTAAAATAGCAACTGCATCAAAATTGCAAGTGCAAATCCAAACAATTTATGTTTGTTGCCCAAACGACAGAAGATAAGAGTCCATTTCCAAGCCAAACACTTTTATTTAATTGCAGTGGCAATTTTGCTTGTATTCGTTTTTATTGAGTCAAAAATGTGAATATAAATATAAATATATGTGCAACAATTTTTGTGTTTGGTCAGCTGTTGAACCGTGTTCAAATGTATGTGA